ACAAATTCGGGAGGGAATGGACCTTTTAGGGAAGTTGTGGTTAGTTTGGATGGTGAAGTGGTTGGTGTTGTTAGGCCTTTTACCGTGGTGTATACAAGAGGAATTAATCCTCTCTTGTGGAGATCCATTAGCACTGTTGGTTCATTTGATCTCCCTACTTGTGATATTGAAATTACCCCATTTTTGGGGAACTTGTTGGATGGGAAAATCCACAAACTAGGTTTTAGGTTTACAATGCTTTGAATGTCTGGTATATTGATGCTAATTAGCATCTATGGTTGGATAGTAAGAGCACTAAGATTGAAGGGAAGCTTTTGGAGCATGATGTTGTTCCTCTCAGTGTTTCTACTTTTGCAGATTTCAATGGTTTAAATGGAATATTCGTTACAATTACAACCAGGTTCATATCATCGACTGGATGGGTCAAGTCCTCCTATGGTACAGTCGCAACCAAATCTATTCAAGATTTAAATTATAGTAACACAATGGTGATGGACAAGAATGGAGATCTGCAGGTCGTGCATAAGGTGATCCATTTCGATGACAGTATTTATGCAAAGAAGCCAGGCTCTGATGCTAAATCGAAGAAAGCACTCAAGAGGTTTCTATTTTACTACTCTGACCATCTTGATCAAGGAAATGGAACTTCATTTTCTGTAACAAATGTCACATTGGGATTTGGTGAGGAGAAGTTTAAAGATGCTGATGCCAGGCTGCCTAGCAGTTCACTCAGGAATTTGCAGAAGGGACTGGATGTTGTGGTTGTAAAGGACAACTTGGTTGTCCTTGGAGTGGGCAGTACCCAACAAACACACAATTATGATCGCAGCTCAAACTACACATTCTTTATGATGAAGTGGGGAAGACATGCAATAAAAGAGCAAACTTTCATTTTAGATTTGGCCTCAGCCGAAGGTGGCCTGTTCCAGCATCAAGAGCTTGTTTAGCATCTCAGGTAAATGGTCTTAGGTGTTTCTTTTAACTGTACTTTAGTTAGACTCTTCATCCTAAAAGTAAGCTGGTACAACCTATTTCTTGACATACGCTGCGGATTAGTTTATAAAGAGACTGGCAGGATCCGTTATCGCATCATATAAAGTAGAATTTTGCGACTGAATGCCCTTCTCTATCATTGATTTTAGCTGTAAATAGTGGTTTGCATTCCAGACTAGTGACTATGTCCCTTAATTTGATCAGATATTTGAAGAAAAGCAGTTTCAATCATAGGGATTTTTCATTTTCTTGTTGACATATGCATGTTACGCAAACTGAAAAACATGCATGGTTTGCGCTGGTGGTAAGATGACTGCAATTAAATTGGGGTACTTTGCATAAACTAGAAGAGGCATATAAACCTTTGACCACCAGTTGATCTCTTTATGGTCTTGGGATGAAATGAAAGTGCCATAATAATATCTATCAGAAGTTGTTATGAAATTCCATAAACAGTGCCAAAGAAATCTTTACTGTCAATAAAAAAGCTTTTATTTGATGTCAGTGAAGTGTTTTCTTTTTCTTTTTTTGTAAAATACACTAACACCTTTAAATTTTACACATAATTTTATGTATATTTATTAGTTTTCAAAATATACAATATGTTCTAAAAGAATATCTTTCGTTAGATATACAAGTCTAATCGTTAATGTTTCGTTTGTTTGATAATGTGATAATATTTTTAGGATAATTTATCTTTCATTAATTTTAAAAATTATTTTTATATAAATTATAATTTTTCATTTTAAAAATTCTCTCTTTTGAAATAAAAAATCCCTCAATTCGATTTGTTCAATTTAGGATCGTAAATTATGTAATTAAATGAGATTCCTAATATCAGTATAATGGAGATTTTCAAAACATGAAAATTATAACATAGTATTATTTATATTATCAAAATCCATAACATCAAAGAGTAATTCCAATTTTGTTATTTTTCAAATGAAATTTAAACAAAGAAAAATAAAATGCAATGTTATATATTTTTCTTGAAAAAAACCAAATTCTTTCTTATTAGATTTGGTTATGAATATATGTAAATATCCATTGTATTTCATAATATTCAATATATCTCCCATATCCAATGTACATATATATGTTGATGCATTTCTATCTCTTGATTTTATTTAGTGTATCTACATTCCTATCTACCAAGTTTATCTCCTCTATTTATGTAAATTCATTTCTTCTTCATCTATGTGTGCTTATAAATAAAGGCATTATAGTTGATGGTTAATAAACTGAAATAGGAAATGAAACAGAAGATCTTCTCACATTCTTACTACTCTCTAACATTCTCTTTCAAAATTATATTTTACAACGCGTTATCAACATGAGACTCTAACCAACTGATAAGGTAATTTTTTTAGTTTCAATCATTTAGATTTTAATTTTGTATACCGTCCAACTTGCCTAAAGCCAACAACAGACCTTGAGCCTCCTTTTGTCCCTTGAAGCGGCGATGGACCCCTAAGACATTTAAAAGTTATTAATACAAGTGCAAATGGGAGTCACCAAAAAAAAAAGAGATGTTGTTTGCTTGATAATGCAACGACACATACAACACTTTGTGGCAAGCATTTTTTTTCGAGTGTGACATTGCGTAAGGTAAATATCCATATAATATTAGGTCTCATTAGGATTATTGATTACTCTGGAAATGTCACAATTGTTTTGCCAAATGGCACCACCTTGTATATCAAGGATGCATTGCTAAGTAATAGATCAAAAAGGAATTACTTAGCTTCAAAGATGTAGGTTGTAATGGGTATTATCTCGTACAATTTACGAGCAAAATATGAAATGTCTCTACATCACTTCTTATAATATGGGTCAGAAAATGTCCATGAGAAGTTGGAAGCTTTAACTATAGGATTGTATTGTGTTGCTATAAGAACTGTTGAATCTTATGCTACCATATCCTAGAAATTGGTAAATCTCGATGAGTTTGAACTTTAACATGACCATCTAGGTCACTCATGAGCTGCCATGATGTGTAGGATAATCCAAAATACTAGAGAACCCCTTTTAAAGGATAAAAAGGTTTTGTTGCTTAAATATTATACTTATGAAACTTGTTCACAAGAAAGCTCATTACTAAACCTTCTATGCAAAGGCGAATCTTGAATCCCCTTCATTCTTGCAAAGATTCCAAGGTGATATTTGTAGACCAATACAACCAGCAAGTGGGCCGTTCCAATATTTCATGGCATTAGTGGGCACATCCTGCAAATGGTCCCATGCTTGCTTGTTATATTACACGTAATGTTGCCTTTGCACGTTTACTTGTGCAAATTATAAAGCTCTTGGCACATTTCCCTGATTATCCAATCAAGAACATAAAGATGGATAATGCCGGTGAATTTACATCAAAGAGCTTCGATGTATATTGTGCTTCACTAAGAATCGAGGTTGAGCACCTAGTTCCACATGTTCGTATTAGAACGGATTGGCAAAATCCATGATTAAACGCATCCAAGTATTGCTCGTATTCTATTATTGAGGACAAAGCTAACTTTTCAACATGGGTCATGTTTGTTTTGCATGCAAAACACTAATTAGATTTGCCCCATTATCAGTCTCTTACAATCTCCCAGCAATTGTTTTAAGCTATGAACTAGACATTTCACATTTACACACCTTTGGTTGCACTGTGCAAGTGCTTGTAGCATTGTCAAAAAGGACTAAAATGAGTCCCCAATACCGTTTGGGCATTTTTGTTAGGTTTGATGCACCATCCATTATTAGGTTCTTGGAACCAATGACGAGTGATCTTTTTACCTTAAATTCACAGTTTGTCATTTCGATGAAACAGTGTTTCTACTAATTAGGATGCCTAAGGCTTCCGTGACTAGAAAGTAGAAACTAATTGAGATTTTCTCCTAAAATAAGAAAAATCTAACCCATTTAAACCCAAAAGCTTTTGAATGTGAAAATAAGGTGTGGTATATAATCCATTTACAAGCTATTGCCAATAGACTTCTTGACTCATTTAATGATGCTGCCAAGGTTACAAAGTCTCATATTCCAACATATTAATGTTCCAGCTAGGATTGGTGTTCTTAAAGAACAGATTGAAATGGATCAAAATGGCTCACACCTAAAGTGTGGAAGGTTGATAAAATCAAAGACATTATCCCTCGAAAAAAAAAAAAAAAAGAGGAATCCGGAATCCACTCCAGAAGAGCATGGTGTTGAGCTTGCTCTAAAAGAGCTTATTACCCTTGAACAGGTACAAACCTATGAAAAGACCACCGACCTCGAGAATATTGAGATTTCTATTATATATTGTAATGAGATTTTGGATTAGAATGAGATAATCATCGATGATTGCACTCTATGTTGCTCATAAGATTATAAACGATGATTATGAACTGCGATCTATTATCGAATGTCGTCAAAGGTAAGATTAGCCCAAGTGAAAAAAAGCAATCTAGGCTGAATTGGATTCCCTAGCTAAGCAAAAGGTTTTCACGCCTGTAACTCAAACCCACGACAATATAAAACCCATTGGATACAAGTGGGTCTTTACTTAGAAACGAAATAAAAAAAAATAGGTCATGAGGTATAAGCCCGACTCGTTGCCAAGGCTTCTCTTAGAGACCTAGGATTGATTATGATGAGGCGTATTCACTTTGATGGATATTATTACTTTTTATTTTCTTATTAGTCTAGCAGGTTCTGAAAAATTGAAAATGCATCTTATAGACATTGTGACGGCATATCTATATGGTTCATTAGACTCTAATATTTATATGAAAATTTCTGAAGGATTCAAAATGCTTGAAACATACATTCCTCATAACTTATTCTCAGTAAAGTTGCAAAGATCTTTGTACAAGTTAAAGCAATCTGGCCACACGTGGTATCAATGTTTAAATGAGTACTTAATTAAGGAAAGGTGAAAAAATGATCTTATATGCCCATTCGTGTTTATTAAGAAATAGAAAATCAGATTTACTATAATAGCAATTTATGTTGATGATATGATTTTGATTGGAACTCTAGAAAAGTTATTTAAAATTGCTAAATATTTGAAAAGGTAGTTTGAAGTTAAAATTTTGGGTAAAACCCAATTTTGTCTTGGCATAGAACTTGAGCACAAAGCAAATGGATTACTTATCCATCAGTCAACATATATTGAGAGATTGCTTAGACATTTTAACATAGATAAGGCTCACCCATTGAGCACCTTTATGGTTGTAAGCTTTTTTTATCCCTAAAAGGACCTGTTTCGTCCTAGAAAACCTGATGAGGAAATACTTGGTCTTAAAGTACCATATTTTAATGTAATTGAGGCTTAGGTGTACTTGGCACAATGTACGAGACCAAATATCACTTTTACGATAAATTTGTTCAAACGTTTTAGTTCTAAACCAACTCAAAGACACTAGAATGGAATAAAACATATCTTCCATATCTTCGAGGAACCATAGATTTGAGATATATTATTGCAAGGATACGACTAACCTTGGTTTAGTTGGATACATTGATGTGATATATAAATATAATCCGCACAAGGATCGCTCTCAAATCGGTTATTTATTTTGCCATAACGGCACTACCATTTCTTGGCGCTCTACTAAGCAAATGCTAATAGCTACATCCTCCAACCATTTCAAGATTATCGCCTTATATGAAGCTGGAAGAGAGTGTGTTTAGTTAAGATCTGTTATAGTACATATTTATAACTCTGGTTGTTTAACATCGGTTACAAATTCTCCCACTATAATTTATAAAGATATAGCTTTTTGCATTGCACAAGTCAGAGGAGGATATATTAAAGATGATAAGACCAAGCATATCTCGTCAAACTTTTTCTACACTCATGAATTCGAAGAAAGTTGATAAGTTGACATTAAATAGATTCACTCCACTAATAATCTTGCAAATCTTTTTACCAAATCATTGCCAATGTCAACATTTGAAAAATTAGTATATAGCATTGAAATGTTGAAAGTTAACAAAATACAAGATTAATATGCCCCTGAAGTGGCAATATGGCTCAATAAAGGGGAAATAATTATGGACCATGTACTATACTCTTATTTCCTTCATATCGATTTTTGTCTCACTAGGTTTTTCCGACTTAAAGTTTTTAGTAAGACAGTGCAATGGACATTCAAAGGGGAATGCTATGTATATTTGTGAATATCCATTGTATTTCATAATATCCAATGAATCTCCCATATCCAATGTATATATTTATGTTAATACATCCTTATCTCTATTTTTATTCAATGTATGTGCATTCCTATATACTAAGTTCATCCCCTTTATTTATGTAAATTCATTTCCCCTCAACTATGTGTGCTTATAAATTGAGTCATTATAGTTGATGGTTGATAGACAGAAATAAGAAATGAAATAGAAAATCTTATATTTTTACTACTTCTCTCTAATATTCTTTTTCAAAACTATATTTCACAATAGATTTAAATACTTTTTAATACATGTTATAATATTGATTTATAAAAATAATAAAATTCATATCTATAATAAATAGTAATATATTATAAATATTGTATTGAAAAGTCAAAAAAGATGTTAAAGAGGTATGTTCACTTCGACAATAGATTGTATGGCCTTGTTTTATCCAAATGTCCGACGTGGTAAGATCACAACCATTGATTTAACTTATTATAGCCAAGTCAAACCATCGATTTTTTTTCAAAGATAAGAAAACAAAGCTGAAAAAAATAGAGAACTTCCTCCCAAACTCCAAAACTCTCTCCCCATATTCTCCTCTAAAAGAAAAAAATGAGCTTTTATTTTTCAGGTACTCAATCCAAAATCATTTAATTATCAAGATATCCGAACCTTATTAAAAGTTGTATAAAATTACAAAATTCTATAAAAAATTGACAGTAGCAGATTCAGGATTTTGTATGAGAAGTAATTAAAAAGCAATCATATAAGGTCATGGATCAGGTCGATGATTCAATTCGGAGCAAAAAATTAATCACTTTTAAAATAAAATTAAATTATAATGTAAAATTTTATTTACAACTTGAATATAAGGTTTCAAATTAATCAGTATAAATAGATATAGAGCACGAAGAAAAATTAATATTAGATTTTCATATTAAGTATAGTAAGTTATTTTCAACTTGTTTTTATACTTTCAAATTCATAGATAACTAAATCCGTGTTAATAGTTCTAGCAATCACTTTGTACTTATTTATTGTGAAAAAATAAGATAAGATTATTGAAATTTTTTAAATATTTTAATCACATTCTTGTTCAGTTTTTTATGTTAACATATAACATATTGCATAAGTACTTAAATCGAATCAATAGATTGTAAGCAAAATCAAAGTTAAAAATTATACTCTTTAAGTAGTTAAGCAATGCATCTATTACTTTATAAGAGAATAACATATTATACACAATATTACGAAATATTTTAGTAATGTTATGCTAAAAAAATGAAAGGTTTTTAAAAAAAGTACATATTACATAAATGTTCAAATCAAATTAACAGATTATAAGAAAAATGAAAATGAAAAATTATACTTTTTAGGCAATTAAGAAATAGAAAAAGGAAAAATAATTTTAAAATTTGGGTTTACTCTATCAAGAAAATGGGTTTCCTCTATCAAGAAAAAAAATAATTTCAAATTTAGACAATTAAATAATGCATCTTTTACTCTATAAAGAAATTTAGGTTTACTCTACAAGGAAAAAAGAAAAATAATTTTAAAATTTGAGCTTAGAAGAAATTGAACCAGGCCACAAAAATTTAATTTAAATGACTTACCACTATGCCAAGCCAAATCATTTAATTTAAATAGGGCTAGCAAACTTATATATTTGTAATTTTATACCCATAAAAATAAAAAAAAAAGTTAAAAACTGAGAGGTGACGGCTGCCACTCCCACCTCCCCTCTACCTCTACCACTGAAAATCGAATCTTAATAGTAAAGAACTATCCGTTAATTATCCAAACCCATTAAATACCTATTTCTGTAGAATAATTTTTTTTATTTAGATATCCGTTTAATAATATATTATCAATATTTATTAAAATAAGTAGTTGACAAATTTGATAAAGGCTTGGAGTGTTTCTCATCTTCCTATGAGTTTAAGATAAAGTTGGTTGAAATGACAAAAATTATCTTAAGATAAGGAAGGTAAAGGTTCATATTTCACTAAATTTAAAATTTTTATAATATTATATATAATTGAGTTCAAGTTTAAGATATCTTAAAAGGTGATATCAGAATTCGTATAAAGTTCTAAAAGCCTTAGATACTTGAAACTTACCCAACATGAAACCTTACATACTTGAAATCTACTCAAATTTGTATCAAGTTTTAAAACTCTTATCCTAATTCACCCCATAACTGAATATAAGATATCTTAACTTTATGTTATCGGGTTAAATATCCACCAGTATTTATATAACAATAACCCATTTACCTCTAAAGGAAAAAAAAATATTTAGACTTCAATTGTTAAAGGTTTTGCTTTAATTTTTCTTTTTTTTTTCTTTTATTTCATAAACTTAAAACTGATAAGCAAATTTACTTTAATTGATTTATTTTATGACAACAGCTTCTTGTTATCTAGCTTTCACATGCCAGATACTACTTATTCTTGCATGCATGCTTTATTCAGTACGGTAAGTAGAATCTTAAGAGGTCAAAATCATGTATACAAGTCCTTGGGCGAAGGCTGCAGCTCAATTGGGCAGGGAACACTTAAATATTTTTATCGTATATCCTCCATCCTATTCAAATTCTAATGGCAGTGTCATTTGAAAAAAAAAGAATAATAATATACAAATAATTTTTTATTTTAAAAATTCTAATTTAACTCAGCTAACTTATAAGCGCTAGTACCCTTCAAACCTACAACCTTCCTAGTACCGGCCGAGCGCCATTCATGTCTTCATCCTGCTTCTCTTTGCTCTTCTTTCTAACCCTTTTATTTCTCCATCCTCTCTTCAGCCAAGCCAATCTCCACAAATCCAACACCCTCCTCAAATCAACCCTTCTCTCCCAACCATCAACCAATGACACCATCCCACCAACTCTCTTTTTTGAAGTCACCAAACCCATCAGAGTCCCAAACGCCAAGCCATGTTCCCTCACTATTCTGCAACATGACTTCGGCTACACTTATGGTCAACCTCCTGTCTTTGCAAACTACACCTTTCCATCTGATTGCCTACATCAGGAATTTTCCAAGATTGTCCTGGAATGGAATGCCACATGTAAAGGGAGGCAATTTGACAGGATTTTTGGAGTTTGGTTGTCTGGAGTGGAGCTACTCAGGAGCTGCACAGCTGAGCCTAGAGCTACTGGGATTGTCTGGAGTGTCCAAAAGGATATCACGAGGTATACCTCATTGCTTTTAATGAACAAGACTCAAACTTTTGCTGTTTATATGGGAAATATTGTTGACAAGACTTATACTGGTGTTTACCATGTCAATGTAACCCTATATTTTTACCCTTCTGTTGAAAAAATGAATCGTTTTGAGGAAAGAGCTGAAATTTTAGGATCTGGGGTTGGTTCTACCCTTTTCGCGGGATTTGCCATTGAAAGATGGGTTGTGGTATGAGATTGAGAATGCTACTGATCTTAAAGTGAAGGACTTTGAAATTCCTCAGAATGTTTATCGGGCTGTGTTGGAGGTATATGTGTCCTTTCATGAGAATGATGAGGTTTGGTATGGAAATCCTCCAAACGATTATATTGCTGCCAATAATCTTACAAATTTGGCAGGGAACGGACCTTTTAGGGAAGTTGTAGTTAGTTTGGATGGTGAAGTGATTGGTGCTGTTTGGCCTTTTACAGTGGTGTATACAGGTGGAATTAATCCTCTCTTGTGGAGACCCATTAGCAGTGTTGGATCATTTAATCTCCCTACTTATGATATTGAAATTACCCCATTTTTGGGGAATTTATTGGATGGGAAAACCCATAGACTGGGTTTTAGTGTTACATATGCTTTGAATGTGTGGTATATTGATGCTAATTTGCATCTATGGTTGGATAGTAAGAGCACTAAGACTGAAGGGAAGCTTTTGCAGCATGACATTGTCCCTCTCGGTGTTTCATCTGTGTCAGATTTCAAGGGTTTAAATGGAACATTCATTACAAATACAAGCAGGTTCATATCCTCGACTGGATGGGTCAAGTCCTCTTATGGTACAGTCACAACCAAATCTATTCAAGATTTAAGTTATAGTAACTCAATGGTGATGGCCAAGGATGGAGAAGTGCAGATCGTGCATCAGACGATCCATTTTAATGACAGTATTTATGCAAAGATGCCAGACTCTGATGCTAAACCAAAGAAATCACTCAAGAGGTTTCTTTTATACTTATACTCTGACTATCTCGATCAAGGAAATGGAACTTCTTTGTCTGTAGCAAATTTCACATTGGGATTTAATGAGGAGAAGTTTAAAGATGCTAATGCCAGGTTGCCTAGCAGTTCACTCAGGAATTTGCAGAATGGACAGGGTATTATGGTTGTAAAGGATAACTTGGCTGTTAGTGGAGTGGGAACTACCCAACAAACATACAATTATGATAGCACTAAATTTTGCTATTCCAGGAACATAAGCAGCTCAAACTACACCATTCTTTATGATGAAGTGAGAAAGACATGCAATAATAGAGCAAATTTTCATTTGGAATTTGGCCTCAGCAGAAGGTGGCCTTTTCCAGCTTGAAGAGCCTTTTTACTATCTCGTCTAATTGATCCAAATTGAAATAGTAATTTGACTCATTGCTTTTGAGCTGCTTTATGTGGAGTTCTCCAATTAGATCTTCCTAGATTCGGACATGTGGATGCGCCCAATTTGTAAATACTCTTGTACCCTTTCTCTTTTCACTTTCTGTAGTTGAATGAACTGAAGTGTTTCTTTTAACTCGACTTTAGTTAGACTCTTTGTCCTAAAACTAAGCTGTTATAACCTATTTCTTGACATACACTGCAGATTAGTTTACAAAGAGACATGTGGGACATTTTCCCCACTATGGCCTGTGCTGCGAAGAGCCAAGAAAACATCTTTAATGAAATGATATATCATTTGCCTTTCAAAAAAAAAAGTTTATAAAGAGACTGATAGGATCAATTGTTGCGTTTTATAAAGTAGAATTTTGCACTGAATACCCTTTTCTATCATGATTTAAGCTCCAAGTATATTCAGAGACTTCTGGTGTATTATACTTCCATCCTTTGACTTTACAGAATGTATAAAATAGTGTCTGAATTAAGGGCTTCAGGAATAAACTCTGACATTTTGCTTCAATTGATTAACTCTATGCATTGTCATGGAGCTGTAAATAGTAGTTTGTATTCCAGGATAGTGCCTACATCCCATAATTTGATCAGATATTTGAAGAAAAGCAGTTTCAATCATATGGATTTTTCATTTTCTCGTTGATATATGCTTATTGCATAAACTTGAAAATATGCATGGTTTGTGCTGGTGGTAAGATGACTGCAATTAGATAGGGGTACTTTGCATAAACTAGAAGAGGCCTATAAACATTTGACCACCAGTTGATCTCTGGGGTCTTGGGATGAAAGGAAAGTGCTATAATATTATCTATCATAAGCTGTTATGAAATTCCATGAACAGTGCCAAAGAAGTCTTTACTGTCAATATAAAAGCTTTTATTTAATGTAGGTGAAGTGTTTCCTTTTTTTATTCAAGGAAGAAAGATTGGAATCATGCTCTGTCTCTTTGAGCAAGAAATTATATACAAATTATTGAACCAAATGTTCATTCTTTGCTGTCCAGCTCATCCTTGTCAATCAGTGTTTCACTCTACAGAAAAGAGTTAACAAGTGTTCTCTTGGGCTTTTTTTCAGAGGATAAATTGAGATTTCTAATTTGATTTTTGGACTTATAATTTTAAGTGGCATGAGTGATGATGAGTCTGAACTCTGAAAAAAAACCAGTAAAACTAAAACTGTATTTCAGGTCTACCAGAGAAGAAATTAACATACAAGTGCTCAGGAAGGGCCAAATTGATGGTGAAAAGGGGAGAATGGAAAATGCTTTGTTAAAAATGGCTAGCTTTTAAGATGTAGGCAATAAACAATTCTTTCTGGAAATTGGGCCAAATAATTCCAGCACAAATACTCCCAAATTTTATATATAAACAAAATTGGTAAAGAGTAATTAGGCAATTCAGTTCTCTTCTCATAACTGGTACGTGCTCCTATTATTCTTCTGTAATTTGTATATTGAATTTCATTTGTTCAATTTAGCACCATTAATTAAGTAATTATTCGAGATTGGTAATGTTAGTACCATTAATTAAGTAATTATTTGAGATTCATAATGTGGCTATATGTGGAGATTATCAAAACATGACAATATTAACATAATATTATTATATTATCAAAATCTATAACATTAAACAGCAATTTCGATTTTATTATTTTTTAAAATAAAATTTTTTAAAAAAAGAAAGAGTAATGAAATTCGATGCTATATTTTTTTTAAAAAAAAAGGTTGCTTTTTATTAATTTTAAATTTTTAATACACATTATAATATTTAGGGTAAAATACACTAACACTATGTTTTAACCATAATTCCTCAAGAACTCATTAGTTTTCGAAATTTACAGTCCATCTGAAAAGAATATCTTATATTAGACATATAAATCTATCATTAGTCAATCATTAATATTCGTTTGATGATGTGACAATATTGAAAAAATAATTTTACTTTTTATTAATTTTAAAAATTATCAAATTATAATTTTAAAAAAAAAAGTCTATCTTATCTCTCATCGGCTGGCCATCTTGCAGTTGGCCACTTCACCACTAGACTGATCAAGGTGCTCCCTAAGGAGCACCGAGGAGAACCAGATTGGCACTCTCTAAATCTGGTGCTCTCTTTTGGAGAGATCCGGTCATATTTGACATTTCACAGTCAGATTTAGCCATGGGATGGTCGACTGAGTAAGGGAGCGTGATTGACCAAGTAAGGAAGCGTAGTTGAGCCGCTTGAAAGAAAGAAAAAGAATGGAAAAAAAAATATTTGAAACATTTCACATTTACATATGAATGTCGTTTACACGTTTAAGATAAAATATTTATTTTGAAAACTAATGAATGTATAATTATAACAAAAAAATTGAAGAAGTCAATGTATTTTATCTTAATATTTATTTTAAAAAATTAAAAAAATTCATATTTTTATTAATTAAACATCAAAATGAGCTATGAAAGTAACTTTTATTTTATTTCATTTTATTAATCAAATTATATATAATAGTTATTCTATTTTTTTTCATATTTTATTTTTCTAAAATAATTATTTCAAATTTTTTTATTTCATTTCGTGAATCAAACTAATCATTTCCAATTTTTTATCTATATTGTGAACCCTTTTCTAAGTTGATGGAACTTGCTTAAATTTCCCGAGGATATTAGTGAAGGTGGTCTTTGCTCCATGTTTGAAACAAGACACCACCGTGCCAGCAAATAAAGCACAACTCTCTAAGAAACTAGAAATAACACCCAACTTACCGATGGTGTTTAACATCGCAGCAAGCTTGTTTTTCGTTTCCATCACTCCTCCCACTCCGGAATAGTTTACTCACATTTCGTGCAGCACCAGTTTTTTTTTTTTTTTGCAGTATTATTTTTTTTTCATGTACCACCATTTTCAAATAAGTACCAAAAGTATTATTTTTATGTTCTATCATTGAAAAAGATAATACATCGTGAATAACAAGAAGAGAAGTTATAATACTTAAATAAATAATATTTGATTTATTTGAAATACCGAAAGAGTATTGTGAATACTTGTTATTATTATAAAAATAATAATAAACGAATAGATATATAATTTTAATAATAAACTAACATATACACAAACATAAATAAAGTATTTTTCTTCCTCAATCCATTTGTCCAAAAATAATTAATACATCATAAACATTTAAATAATCAAAAAAATAGTTAGTCCATCAAAAAGATTTCAGTAATCACTTTGTCATCGCAAAGTATTAACCCACCCAACTTTAGTTAACCTAAATTATTATAAACATTGTAAAAAACTAAAAGTCCATAACACCACCATTACTGCCATTGTTGCCCTTTTACTTGTTGTTACTACTACCGTTGTGTGTTGCTGCTGGAGATGCAAGAGTCGCTTTCACAACAGATGCCATCCTACCTTTCATAACAAGTGCCGACCTGGCTTTCACATTCAACGTTTCGAGCTTGGAAAGACCATTTCCAAATTTTTCTCTATATTGTGAAGCCTTTTGCTGAGTTGATGGAACTTGCTCAAATTTCCCGAAGATATTGGTGAGGTTGGTCTTTACTCTGTGCTTGAAATAAGAAACCACTATGCCAACAAACAAAGCAGTACTCTCTAAGAAGCCAAAAATGACACCTATCTCACTCATGCTGTTTAACATAGCAGTAGACTTGTTTTTTGTTCCCATTGCTCTTTCCACACAGCAAAAGTTTATTCATAGTCGTGCGGCATGCCATTTTTTTTTTCATGCACCACCATTTTCAAATAAGTATTAGAAGTTTTATCTTTATGTTCCATCATTAGAAAAGATGACGCACAATGAGTAACAAGAAGAAGGCGTAATAATACTTAAATAAATAATACTTGAGTTATTCAAAATATTTTTAAGAAAATAAAAAGTGTTGTGAGTACTTTTTTTCGAACTGAGTCATTCTTTTTATTTTCTTCTGAATTTTTACTTTTCTTCTTTCTTCTTTAATAGGCTTATATCCAAAATCAAAATTTTTCTCATTCTTAATTGGAATTAAAAGCTTCCTGATTCCTTTCTAATTCTTTCTTAACCCAAACCCATCATGGTACCTTTTCCCACTTATCTTTCATGTTAGTAGCCTTTAACAAACATAAAGTTGGTATTATTGTTCTTCTCCCACATAAATAACATTAACAAATTCAAAAAACGTTAAAGAGCATTTTAGACTTTTTTTACCGTCTCTATATAGGGAGTAAATGAGGATTGAATGACTAATATGTCTTCTTCTATAAATATTAAAAGTTTTTGATGCACGGAAAATGGTATAGCTCTTGTCATGTTGATCCATAGAAGTCCTAGTACGTAATTATAAAATGAGGCAATATCCATGACTAAGAATTAAATATTAAAAGATAAAAGGCTAATTTTCATCGATATTTTAATATCATCTATCACCTACTGACTAGTCACATTAAGCACTTTTTTAATCTTACGACTGGCTCTTATATAAGACATATCAACTGAGTGATTGTTATAAAAAATAATAATAAACGAATAGCTAAGATATAAAAAGGAATTCTGAAGTTGTACAAGTAATACACAAACAGAAATAATGTACTTGTAATTCATAAATCCATTTGTACAAAAATAGTTAATTCATCATAAACGTAAACATTTTAGTAATCACTTTAGTTCATCATAAACATTTTAGTTAATTCATCGGTAAAACTTGTTATTCAAGCGATCTTACTTGTTGTACAAGCGATCACTTCTCAGTTGCACCATCCATGCGCTATTTATGATTGATTCAAGCCATTACTATGTTACACAAGAGGCCATGGGAAGTGCAAATTCGACATATCTACGGAGAGGCCAATATGGCTAAGGAGGACTTTTCTTGAGAAAAACTTTGCAGTATATAATAATCCACTTGTTAATTTGAGACAGTTAATTGACAAAATGATGTGGGAGATTTGTTTAATAAAATCTTCCTTAAAAAAAACAAAATTTAAAAAATAAACAGCGTCTACTTTGACGACAGATTGTAGGGCCCCGTTTTATCCAAATTTCCAACGTGGCAAGATCACAACCATCCGTTTAGCTTACCATAGCCAAGTCAAACCATCGATTTGTTTACAAAGATAAGAAAAC